CGCCGCAGATAGATAGATAGATAGATAGATAGATAGATCGATAGATAGATAGATAGATAGATAGATAGATAGAGTCTGGATGGAAACATTTGAACATGGTAAATACGAAAGTTGGATAAAGATAAAGTTAATCAATTACATCGTTTTTCTGTTATATGTATTGACATGAATGAATGATAGATAGATAGATAGATAGATAGATAGATAGATACTGAGAGAGAAAAGTGTAATAATTTGAGAAACAGATTGAGATAGGCATAAACATGCTAGGATATATAGACATGAATAAACATATATATATATATATATACACACACACACACACACACATATATATATATATATATATATATATATATATATATATATATATATATATATATATATATATATATATAGCAAGTGTAAATGGATATAAATCCGACAGAATGAAGAAATTTTGAAAAACAAACAAAATCCTTAAATGTAGTTAAAATGAACTACATTTAAGGATTTTTTTTTTTTCAAATTTCTATATATATATATATATATATATATATATATATATATATATATATATATATATATATATATATATGAAATATGTATGTATAACCTGGAGATTGCGTTTAGGCAATAAACAGACTGGATCCGCTTGATGCTGAATTCAGTATCCACTTTAATACTTACATATGTCCTATCCTGGCATTGTAACCCATAAAATTAGCATACCTTAAAACTATTCTTTATATATATATATATATATATATATATATATATATATATATATATATATGTATGTATGTATGTATGTATGTATGTGTATCGAGACAGATTGAGAGAGAGAGTTTTTATTTGGGTAGGTAGCCTCATAAATGTAAATTAAAGTATTTCTTTTAATTCAGGTACGTCTAGGTCTAGATTGGCGGACACACAGACAGACACTCCCTGAGTAAGGAGATTCGATATGAGCATTTGAAATTGAATGATGCATATCTTGTTCTGTGCCTCTCTCTCACGATTGTATGGAAAGCGATTGAGCGTTTGTGATTTTGATTGATACGAAAAGTTTTGTTTGAAATCACAAAGGAGAAGACGAAGGAAGTTCGATAAAGGCCAAATTGATTAATGTCGAGCGTTCAACTCCAAAACGATCCGCCGAGACTTGTGACTTATTCGTTTCTACAGACTTACAATAAACCACAAAGACATCAAGTAGGTTCTAACACGTAGCCATACAATTATACAAGAATTTTGACGTTTCACCTAGCGGGCCTAGACACCTGTCTATGAGGGAGTATAACATAAAATCATGACAATAATAAATTTAACCCTTTATAGACAAGAAAATTTCGGCGTTTATTGCCGAAGATTTAGTGTTACTGTCGGTTGAAATTTATTAAATCTTAAACATTTTGATTAGAAAATTAAACACGTCAAATCCACTGACGATTAAAGATTTAGTCTTACTGTTGGTTGAAATTCATAAAATTTTAAACATTTTGGTTAGAAAATGAAAGACGTCAAATCCACTGACGATTGAAGATTTAGTGTAAATGTCGGTTGAAATTTATTAAATCTTAAACATTTTGGTTAGAAAATTAAACACGTCAAATCCACTGACGACTGAAGATTTAGTCTTACTGTCGGTTGAAATTCATAAAATTTTAATCATTTTGGTTAGAAAATGAAAGACGTCAAATCCACTGACGATTGAAGATTTAGTGTAAATGTCGGTTGAAATTTATTAAATCTTAAACATTTTGGTTAGAAAATTAAACAAGTCAAATCCAGTGAGGACTGAAAATTTAGTGTTACTGTCAGTTGAAATTTATAAAATCTTTATCCACTGCCTTAACCGGGTATCCTGTCACTGGATCTAACCAACGCCTTTATCCACTGTGCCAGGTGTCCTTGATGAAATATGTGTATGAATTTCTGGGTATTATAGACCTAATATCTTCAGCAACTATTTTTTACCAGTTCTCTTATTGCAATTTTTGCTGTTATGATATCATGTTTTTACTACAGCTCATATTGCAAATTTTTTTCTTGTTATCGCTTTTTGTCTGGCACTTCTCATTACTGGTTCCCATATTGTACTCATTTCTATGCTTGGTCGGCTCAGGTCGGCCGAAATGTTGTAATAAATATGGTGACAAAGATGAGAACAATAGTCAGAATAATATAAATAGTGTACATAATACTTCATCTCAGAAATATAGACAGATAGTATTAGTACTAATCCTTTAATGCCATCTTGTATTAATGGGTTTTATCTTCCAAATTTTTCTTTTTTCTTTTGGTTGTGCGGAAAGTTACCAATGATATTATGTCATTATCTTTTTTTTTTCTTTTTATAAAGTTCGGTTTTAGCTTATTTCTAAATCAAAGTAGGTCATAGAATTATTCCAGGTTGTAATTAAGAGCCATAATTTGAATATAATATGAGTGGTAAGATTTTACAAGTACAAGGAAGTACATAAATTGATTTTAATATATCACTCCGGTTTCCGTTGGCTCAAGTTGAAGTAGAAATGCCAGAGGATTGTTTATATTAACGTATCTGAGAGTTATGAACAGGCTAAAACCAGCACAGACGTTAAAGTAGACATTATTTGATTGGTTGACAAATCGGAGGACGATTACTCCCTATTTCTTTGGAGAAAAATACTTTTCTCAGAATTGAGTATTAAACAGTCAAGATAACTGATCTAACACATGTTTTGGGCCTCAAGACTGTTCGATTGCTTGAGGTTGTGATGCTATGGTGCAATAATGCACATTGGGTTGTAGGCCTCGTAGAAAATGTCCGAATTGATCATGCGTTTACCAAAAGTAAAATCCATCTCTCCGAAAGCACATGGATATACATATGCATTTTTGTTATCACTAAGGACGAAATGGTTCCAGTTTCTTTATTATTATTATTATTATTATTTGCTAAATATGTTTCTTATGATGTTCAACCTATATAAGGCACAAGAACAACTCGAGGTAGAGCATTACTGTGTAAGAAGCAAGGTTTATGATGAGATATAGGGAACGTAACTCCATATAAGATAAGAATTCCTTCTACACAAAGAACACGATTCTCGTAGTATCAGCGAAGTTAAGCAACGTCGAACTTGGTCAGTGACTACTTGAGGGTTGTATAATGGATAACGACTACGAATTAGAAATGGGAGAGTCAATAACATGATAAAAATTACTACCTCCCCCCCCCCGACACACTGACACACACACATATATATAATTCAAGATCTGCATATTGCTTTTAAGCATGAAACAAACTGTCGCCTCTGGGTGTTGAACTCACGGTCAACTTTATTGTTTACATACCCTCTATCCCTGATATCCAACCCGTAGCCCATAAATATAGCATACCATGAAACTATATGATACACACAACGGGACATATATATATATATATATATATATATATATATATATATATATATATATATATATATATATATATATATATATGTATATATATATATAATATATATATGATGTGTGTATATATATATATAATATGTATATATATATATATAATATGTATATATAATATGTGTATATTTCTATATGTGTATATATAATATGTGTATATATCATATGTATATATATATATATGTGTATATATAGAATATGTGTATATATATAATATGTGTACATATTTATTATATGTGTATATAGAATATGTGTATATATATATATAATATGTGTACATATTTATTATATGTGTATATAGAATATGTATATATATATATATATAAGTATGTATATATATATATATAATATCTGTATATATATATATATATATATATATATATATATATATATATATATATATATGCAAATAGGAAAAAAACGTTAGGTAAATAATCCTGGATTCTTTAGGATTTTTGTTTTTTATTTTTAAAAACAGTGCTCACTCTCTCTCTCTCTCTCTCTCTTTCTTTCTCTCTCTCTCTCTCTCTATACATATATATGTGTGTGTGTGTGTGTGTGTGTGTGTGTGCAAACAATATAATATACTTATGTTTCATATATATATATATATATATATATATATATATATATATATATATATATTTATATATGTGTGTGTGTGAGTGTATATCAGGGTTTGCATATATCTGACTGGATTATCTATCAATAATTATTATGTCATAAATTATCTCTCTATCACTTCTCTTTTGCTCATTCTGTCTCACAATCTATCTATCTAACTATATACATGCATATATATATATATATATATATATATATATATATATATATATGTATATATATATATATATATAAGAGTATACAATAATAATAACACAAATACCTAAGAATAAACCTAAAATTACAAGAATTATTTCCTATTTTCCAATAGCAGTTTTTTATATTTTTTATCCATCTATCTATCTATCTATCTATCTATCTATCTATATATATATATATATATATATATATATATATATATATATAACAAAAGGCTTAAACACTAATATTCATGGTCATAATTTATTCCATTGGAATCGTAAATACGATCAAATCATCAGACCTACAAATTCAAAGATTTTGAATTTGTAGGTCTGATGATTTGATCGTATTTACGATTCCAATGGAATAAATTATGACCATGGAATATTAGTGTTTAAGCCTTTTTATTATATCCTTACTCTGTCCTAGACATTGAGTTCTACCTGGATCCTTCCTCTTGGAAAAATTTTTTCTGAAAATATATATGTATGGAAATTTTTTAGATATATTTTTCATATGTATGTATATTTTCCACTAATATTATCTATCTATCTATATATATATATATATATATATATATATATATATATATATATATATATATTTACAGGATGTAAAAGCAAAATTCAAAATTGTCCAAATCGTGTAACTGCGTAATTGTCTATCGCACAAAATAGGTAATAGCTTAAAATATCACTAAACTGATTTTCTTTTTGCCACGTTTCCACGTAGATAATACGTTTAGACATCTTGACACCATTTATCGTATGAACCACTGAAAAACACTTCGAATTATTCAGCTAGAAGGAGAACACGTTATAATCATTTCATGTCAGACGCCCTTTCTTTACAACTGAGCAATGATGAAATAAAAATATGATTCAGGCCTTCAATAATATTACCAGTATTCATACTCTGGCTTCCATTTTCCAAGTCCATTCAAGTCCATTCAATAACTATGAACGGTGAATAAGTTTTTTAAAAAAAAGGGAACAGTAGACAGGCCAACTGGATCAGGAGGTCACAAGAGCAAGAAAGATAATCATTTCCATTAAGAGCTCAAGAGATCAATTAGAAAAGATCCAACTCAGTACATAAGACTTTTGGCACGTAGGAGATGTGTTTCAGCGATGACACTCCAAAGCACAATGAAAACAGACAAGAAAATTAAATCGCACTTGAAACCTGTGAAGCATATTATTATGCCAGAACAGAAAGTTAGAAGATGAGGGAGAGCGGAATTCGTCTTGAATAGGTTGGAAAATGATTCGGAAATATATATATATATATATATATATATATATATATATATATATAGAGAGAGAGAGAGATAGATATATATATATATATATATATATATATATATTAACTTTATCTCAATCCTTCACGAGCTTCCGATCCTTAGCTATAATGAATTAATGATGAACATGTCATTTTCGTTTATGAGTTATTTCATCCCGATTCTTCCGTTAAACTTGGGGAGTAATTACACATTCTTACTGTTCAAAGTCCAACTAGATTATAAAAACATTGGAAAATTCCAGTAAGTTATCTCAATCATTTCTAAGATGTAACTTAAGAACTTAACCTAACAACTGAACAATTTTACTGATACGCGATTTGTACAATTTTGGTGTTACCCCAGGCATTAACTGCCAATATTTTAATGCGCATTTTTGGCCCAGACAGGTGTCTTAGAAGTTTATTTATTCCTTCTGTTTAATATAAGTAGTTACC